CGACTTAAAACCTAAGGGCCATGCGTCCTGGCCACTTCCAGTTCCCATTTCCTTCTCCCCCGAGATGCTGGGGTCCCTCACAGGCAGAGGCACAGGAGTGCCTCCCTCTCTGTTTGCTGAACTTCAACTCCCCGCTGGCCTTACATCCCATAAAACCAGAGCCCACGCTATCGCCGTGCCCAAGAGCAGAGTCACTTTGCCTTCGTTACAGCTCGTACCGACCCAGGGATCGACACTTCCAAAAGACGCACGCGGTAAAACCGGGAGCGGCGGCGCTGATTTCACCGGGGTTTCACGGGTAGAAATGGGAGCTCGCGGGTAGCAATGGGAAGCTGAAGATGTCTGTAAGGACAGATCTAGGGCGAGATGTGAAAAAGGACTGAGAGAATCACCAGGCCAGGCCAGGGTACGGCAGAGGTGCCACCAGAACGAGATCGGGATGGGGAGCGTGGAGCAAGGAGCACCCTCAGCCAGGCATCGTCCCCGGGCACCCCTTCCCGATGGCACCCCTCTCCCTGCCACACGCCACGTGCATCCTTCCCGGGACGGGGACCTGCCACCAAAAAGCCAGGGCAAAGACATGCCCGTGCTCAGCCAGACGCGAGAGCGACGTGACTGCTCCCGCCAGCAACCTGCAAGGAGCTTTCGAGACTAAAACGCCACCGCGGAGGAACGAGCTGCAGCACGGGTGGCCCAGATCCTTCTCCGACATCAACAGAAACTCCCTGACCCAAGAGCAGTAACAGCCTCTCAGTAGATATTTATCTCAGGAGGGCGGTTGAGGAGTTTTGGGTTGCTTTTGTTTCCTACTTGTAAACTGTTCTTATCGACCAGCTTCATCTCAGGCCAAGGACAGAGACAACGCTGATGACATCTGCAATAAAGCGATACCCTCCGACACAGGCAAGCCCTGCTCCCAGCCCCGCTCTCACCCTCCATCCCGCCCCACAAGCTGTCACCTCCCTGGGCAAAGTTGACTTTATACCCAGAGAGACCCCCTCTCTGATAACTGGAGAGTTTGTTTCCCAAAAGGGGGAGGTTTTCTCCCATTTATGTTAACTTTGACAGCTTCCTGCAGGGGAGCTTTAATAAATAGGGGATGAAAAAGCAGAGAGAGCAGCTGTAGCTCCGGGCTTGTTAATATGGCTTTGTTCCTCCTGAGCACCTTTCACATGTGCATCTCGGAGTCCTTTAGCAACACGGACAGGATTAAAGCTTCTGGTAGCCCAGGGATGGAGAAGAGGATGTTCACCCACTTCATGGAAGGGGCTATCACATCCACACAAGATCCTGAAGAGAAGCTGAGCTAAGGAAACAGCAAAACTGAGAGGAGAGCTCCAGAGACTGAGTTTTCCAACCCGGCTCTGATCCCAGCGCCGTCACGGGCAAAGTGTCCTACTGCAGAGCCAGAAGCGATAGCTGCAATTTGCTGATCTTGAAGTGAAAGCTAAAACTCTTTGGAAAGCTTCGCAACACATGGCCAGCAAAACAGCCAATTTCAGTGGCAAGCTACCAGAAACATCGTGCAAGAACATGTTGAGTTTCAAACTCTTTGCTAGAACTTGTCTTCACATCTCAGTGGCAATCTGTCCCATCAAGACCACGGCTCGATTGCCAGGGAACGATGAAGGAGTATCTGCCAGTGCTGCTGCAAATAAGTGCAACTCCACTGGCTTTTAGAAAAATGAGGAGGACTTGTCACCGGTGGTGACCATGCAAGGGTCGGCGGAACAAGAGCTCGAGGTGACCCCGATGGTTGGGGTGGCAGCAGAAGGTGAGCACGTGGGGTTTCACGCCTCCCCTCTCCTCGTGTCGGCGAGCACCCTACACCGCAAGCAGCCTCATGAGAAATTACACCTCATGTACAACTCCTGGCAAGGCCAGAGGAGGAGAAACCACATAAGAGCGAGCGGAGGCTCGAGCTCAGAGATGAGGTAGAAAACAGAATTTGAGAGGTGGATGGAATTATTTCTCCAGAAAGCCCCACGATGCTTTAAAATGGATTATCGACAGCCTGAAAGGTTTCCCAGGAAATACTACTGCTCCTCTGCATGGAGCTTTCAGACTGCTCCGGTTCTTTTAATATTTCTATCAATACTAGCATCCTTAGGATGAAAGTTGGCAAATTCTGTGAAAAATGCTGCCATCTGCCAACGAGTTCTTTGCTCAGCTCCCCGGCAGGCCAAGTGAAAGGTACAGACCCGGTGTCAAAGAGAAAAACTTCTACCTAGAAGGAGAAATCTTACATCTTAAGTCTAGTGCTTCCTGCTTGGAGCTCTCAGAGTCTCGGCAGGATGGGGAGAGTTAAAAGTCAACACTATTTAACAGCAACAAAAGCTCAGGGTTAATGAACTCAAAAGACGCCAGCGGTAGAAGGCACCTGGCCTGGAAAAAGCTTTAATCTGGTCACGGCAATCTCACCAAGAACAAAATGATCTATTTTCCTCCCCTTGGAAGCAGGTTGGCCTTATCTCTGCGTGCACAACTCACTCGGTCCAGGGCGAGGGAAGGTTTGCGTAGGGGAGAAGGTAATTCAAGCGGGCGCCGGGCCTGGGGAGCACCCAGGGGTGCGTGATGCCCGAGATGCTCAGCTCCACGAAAACAGTAATTAAGAGGAGACCAAGTAAAGGAATCAGAATAACCTCCCGTTTTCAAAGGGAAGGCGATCAGCTGAGCTCAGTGCGCCCAACCAACCCCATGCTGCTGGAAGAGAAAGCTTAAAAAAAAAAAAAGAATGAGCTACTCTAACAGTCCCAGTCCCGCTGATACGGGGGAAGCGTTTGCTCTCGGGTACGCCGGGAGCTCAGAGCAGAGGCAAGGTGTGCGAGCAGGAGCAGGCACGGCTGGCAAGGGCCGTCCCGGGACGGTGTTTTGCCAAACTACCTGTTCTCAGGAGGCTTTAGCCATCCCTTAAGCGGGAATTAGGATCCTTGCCAGCTTGGGATAGTGCGTGGTGCCAAATATCAGGAAGGCAAAAGGGTTTTGAGGGGGAGAATGGAGATCCAGACTAGACTTCAGGCTCAGGAAAATCTGAAAGCGTTGGGATTCACGGTTGGGGGTGGGACATATGTTTCCCACTAGGTAAAACCACAAAAGTGAGAACTTTCAGGTATAAATACCGAGGGAGAGGGGTTCTCCCCTTTCTGTGCTGCTGGCATTGCTCCTGGCTGGTGCCAGCACTCCCTGTCTGAGCTGTGGTACAAATTACAAAATCCATCAGGATACCCCAGAGGTCAGGCCTCCCTTTTCCATGACCCCATTCCCATAACCCCCCCTCTCCTCGCCTCCCCCGCTGTCTGTTCCTGAGGGCCGAATTCCGCGGTTTTATTAAGGCGACGGCAACCAAAGGCCTTCAGCTTTTCAGTAGCAAAAAATTATCTCGCTGTGCTGAAGAGAGAAGCGGCGGAGGAGGGTAGGAGGCACCTTCAAATCGCTGGCTGCGATTAACCCTCCCTGAATAGAAAATAAACGGGAGCCAAAGCTGCTGCCTTCACCCCGGCGCCGGAGGAAAGCGCATCGCTCCCCATTTCCCTGCAAATTGTGCTCCGCGATGGAGGGAGCCCCTTGAACTATCGCCCTTTCTCTTGGATGGCAAAGTTGGAAAACAGATTTCCCTCCTTTAAAAAAAAAAAAAAAAAAAAAAAAAAAAAAAAAAAGGTAGCCCAAGCAAACACCGAGGTTGCCCAGGTCTCGGGTAGGGATTGACACGGTGTTTCTTGTGGTATCACCCGAATCCCGGCCGTCAGTGGATTAAGAAATGTCGCTAACGGGGGGCATGTGGTGTTTTGTTTTCTCGCCTTCTCCCCCAGGAGAAAAGAGCTTGGGTTTGGTAAGGATTGTATAGAAATCTACACACCAAAATAGGAAATCCTGCTGGAGCGGAGGGAGGAGAGCGGACCTTGGCGCAGGGCAGAGCCCGGGCCAGGCTCCCCACTGCAAAGATGGGGGGGGACGGGACACATGCAGACACAAGATTTTCACCCCCAAATCCTCTGCCTGCCCCCACCCAGCTGGTGAAGTGCCTGTCCCGTGGAGGACGGGCCGTGAAAGCCATCCCCGTGCCGCCACCTTTGGTGACGAGGGGGGGACACATGAGGGTGAACCCCCCACCCCCCCAAACATCTGCTTGGGCTCGATGCCCCCCCCCCCCCCTCCCAAAACAGGCTGCTCTGTGCTACCCTCGGGGCTTGAGAGGAGGCTGTGAGCCCAGGACCACCGCGGGGGGGGGGGGGGGGGGTGAGGCGAGGCAGAGCCCCGGGAGGATCTCAAACCACCCCCCCCACCACAAACCAACTCAATCGTGTCCCCCCCCACCTCGCGCTTCATCCCGGGACCCCCCTCAGCGCCCCAATTTCCCTGAAATCCAACACAACGCTCAGCACCATGAGACACACACGCACAGACACACACACCCCCCCCCCGCCCCGCAGCAAGCACAAACCCCGTGGAGTCTCCCTGCAACACGCCCCCCCCCGGCAGAGCCTGGAAATGTGGGGGGGGGGGGGGGGGAATCCCCGCCCCACGCACTCTTTGCCCCCCCCCACACACACCGCGCCGTGCCGCATCGCCCTTTTAAGAGCCCTCCGGGACCGCGCTCCCCGCAGCCCCCGCCACGCGAGTCACCGGTTCAGGTGGTGGGCGGGGGGGGGGGAGCAGGGGGGGAGGGCTGATGTTGGGGGAGGAGGGGAGCAGGGCAGCGTCTCCGTCCACAGCAGCAGATCCCGCGTGTGATATTCCCCCCCCTCCGCCGTCTCCCCATCGCCCTTTTAAATTCCTCAAAGGCACCGACCGCGCACACAGAGCGATGGGGGGGGGGGGGGGGGGGGGGCGTCCACGCGGGACCTCCCACGCACGGGAGGAGGAGAAGAAAGAAGGGGAGGGAAGGAGGGGGGGGGGGAAGAAGAGGAGAGAGGGCGAGAAGAAGGGGTTCCCCCGCCCCCGCGCGCACCCACGCCCTCCCCCACATCCCACCCCCCCCGTCACGCGTGGGAGCCCCTCACCTTCCTCTTGTGGCGGTGGATGTCGCCGATGGAGTTGGCCACGGTGTTGGGCCCCAGCAGCATGCGGGTGCTGCGCGGCCACTCGGTGCTCACCAGGTGATGTTCCCCCATCAAGATTTTCCGCACGTTTTCCGCCCCCGTCACGCGCACGAGCGGCCGCCCCAGCAAGTGCGTCTTGAAAACGTTCCCGTATTTCTCCCGCCGGGAAGACTGGAAGCAAGAACCCTGCGTGGAGTTGGGGGGGGGGGGGGGGGGGGTGGAATAACACGGGGAAGGGGGGATGTGTTACCGCACGGCCGCAGCCACGCGTGGAGAAACCCCACGGCGCAGCGGGGAGCAGCTTGGGGGGGGGGTGGGGGTGGGGGGAGGCGGGTGTGTCCTGGGGGCAACCCGGCTTGGGGCGGTGGGGGGGGTGGAAATGGGAGGAAAGTGGGGTAGCCCCGGCATCCCACCCGCGAACAACCCGGCTCCCACCAACGGGGCGCCCGGCGCTTCCCGCTCCGCCTGCCGCTCCGGGGGAGCCGGTGTCCGCCACCCCCCCTTCCTCCTCCTCCTCCTCCTCCTCTTCCTTTTTATTTCTACCTTTACCTCCCCTGGCACTTTTTAACTTTTTTTTTTTTTTAATCTTTTTTTTTTTTTTTTTTTTTTTCCGCGCTCAGGCTGAGTTTACTCGAAAGGCTGCGATTTGCTTAAGTAAATCTCCAGATTTGAGCGCTTTTAATAACTTTCCCACATGCTCCGGGGGCTTTTCTCAATGAAGAGACGGATGGAACCGCGGGGTGTCTGTGTGTGTGTCCCAAAAAAAAAAAAACCAAACCAAACCAAAACAAAACCAAACCATCCCGCGTGGGGAGAATCGCTGCAGCTCCGCGCCCCGGCGCTGGGTCGCGAGTGCGTGTGTTTATTTTGAAACAAAAGCGCGGTTGTGAATGTCAGATGTTCAGGTGACCCTGTTTCTTGATCTGCGTAAATATAATTAAAGTCCTTTTTGTGGCATTAATAAAGAGTTATTTGTACACCATTTCCAGGGCAGCACAAAGAGGACCTTTATGTGGGAGAAGTTTCGAATGGAGTCCAATTTATACAAAATTTTGTATTTTTAGCCCTGGACTCTGTTTGGACGGAGCCTGTGGAAAAGCGAGAACCCTTTTCTGGTCCCCCTGTAAAAATCTGATAAATTTCTTTAAAAAATAAAGCCCTATTGAGAGCGTGCGGTTAACCCCTTCGGCGCCGCTGGCGGGGAAGGGACCGGCCGGAGAGCGGAGCCGCCGCTCCGGGCTCCCACGTTGGGGCTTCCCCGGTGCCGGGGCGGGGGGGGGGGGGGGGACACGGGACGACGACACTCGGGGGACGGGACACGACACGGACACACGGCCGGACAGACGGATGGACACCCCGGGGGATACCGCAGCACTCACAGCCGGGACGGGGTCGCCCTGCGCTGCGGCGGGCTCAGCCGTGTGTGTCCCCCCCACACACACTCCCCCCCCCCCCCCCCCCCGGCGGTCCCGTCAATGAAACGTGACCTTCGCTGGCGGGAGCATCCTCGCCAGGCTCCCCTTTGCTTATTATTATTATTTTTATTATTTTGCCCTCGGAGGAGGAGGTGGGAAACCCTCAGGCTAATTTGCCTCGGGGGTTCCCTCCTGCGATGCTGCGAGCCCCCGGGGTGCCCCCAGCCCTGCCCGCAGTCCCCCTTCACCCCCCCCCCCCCCCGGAGCGGGGCACCCCTCAGCCGCCTCTAGCCTCTTTCTTTTTTTCTTATATTTTTTTTTTCACCCCCCCTCTTTCTTTTTTTGGCAGTCCCCCTCTCGCACCGCGGTCCGAGGGGATCCCGCTCCGCCCGCCGCTGTTCAGCATTTAGTAAGGTTAATCCCGGGTTAATCTACCGATTACCTCCGCGGGCTTCCCCCAAGCCCGGTTGCAAACCCCGACGGGAGCAGCCCCGGGGACGAGGGGACACTCCCCCCCCCCCCCCCCCCGGGCTCATGTTGGGGGACACGACCCGGGGGGAGCCCCGGCACCGTGCGCGGCGACATCCACGCTCGCCCCGGGGCTAACATCCCACCCCCGGCTTTTTTTTTTTTTTTTTAAAAAAAAAAAAAAAAAGAGGATTTAGGCTGGGGGAGGGGGAAGAAAATATTTTAGAGACCCTCGAACCCCCCCAGCACCACCCCCCCCGCGGCTGCTCCGGCCCCCAGCTGCCCCCGCCAGGGGAAGCCCGTAGCGTGGTGGCTACTTCGGGGCGAGCGTGTGTGTGTCCGTCCCCCCCCCCACCCCGCCCCGCTCCGGGCTTTCCCCAGCCACCGGCAACCCCCAGCCCCAGGTACCTCCCCGGCTCGTCGGGAAGCCGCATGATGCAATCGAAAGGAAAAGAAAAAAAAAAAAAGAAGGAGGAGAAGATGGGGAAGATGAAGGAGAATAAGAGAGAAAAAAAGAAGTAGAAGGGGAAAAAAAGAAGAAGGAGAAAAAATGGAAAAAAAGAAAGGAGAAAAGAAGGAGAGAAAGAAGGGAAAAAAAGGAGAGAAAGAAGGGGAAAAAGAAGGAGAGAAAAAGGGGGAAAAAGAAGGGGAGAAAGAAGGGAAAAAGAAGGGGAGAGAGAAGGGGAAAAAAAAGAAAGAGAGAAAGAAGGAAAGAAAGAAGGAAAAGGATTTAAAAAGGAAAAAAAAAGGAGAAAAAAAGAAAAAAAAAAGGAGAAAAAGAAGGTTTTTTTTTTAAAAAAAAAAAAAAAAAAAAAGACGGGGGAAAAAAAAAGCCTTACAAAAAAAAAAAAAAAAAGCCGGTCCCAGCCCACCTTCCAGGGAGGGAAGAGAAGGGAAGGGAATCCTCCTTACCTGCAGGAGCCAGTGGAAGGTTTCTCCGATTAAAGGGAATCCCATAGAGCCTTTGGGGATTGGTAGCTTGCAGGTTTTGTCGCGGGTGGCAGCCCAGCGGAGCTGCCACAGCTGTTGGGACACGGCCAGCAGCAAAGTCAGTGACACCAAGCACGCGGCGAGGGTAGCCAGTGCCGAGACGAGATCAAAACTTGCAAAAAGCATATTTGGAAGAAGGAGGAGGAGGAGGGTGGGGAGAGAAACAGCCCCTTGACAGGCACCGCACTCGCACCCACACACACGCACGAAAAGAGGGCGAGTGCGGAGCGCACGCTAAAGGCTGCCTGGGGGGTCCTTGGGCGGGGGGGACCGGGCTCGCCCCCCTCTCGCAGGTTAGAAAAACAGCGGGGAAAAAGGAGGGGGGGGGCGGGGGGGGGGAGCAAAAGAGTAATAATAATAATTAAAAAAAAAAGGGGCAAAAAGCAGTTTCTCCTCTGTCCCTTTCTGAAAACTTTGTTCTTGGTTGGAATAAACTTGACAGAGTGACACAGGCGAAAAAAAAAAAAAAAAAAATACAACCCACACAGAACAAAAAGCGAGGGAAAAAAAAAATAAAAAAAAGAAAAATAAGAGACCCCCCCCAAAAGAAAGGGGTGGGGGGGTAACTGAGTAGCCAAAAACGCAAAGGGGAAAAAAAAAATTAAACAAGAAAAGCCCCGGAGTGAAAAAAAAAAAAAAAAAAAAAAAGACCCCAAAAAGTCCAAATGCAGATGCTCTGGCTCTCCCTCGCTTTCAAGGCAAAGCCACACACACCAGAAGGGGGGGGAGGGGGGGGGGGGAGGGGGGGAAAAAAAAAGGAAAAAAAAAAAAAAAGAGCGAGATTTAAAAAAAAAAAATATTAAAAAATCATAAAATAATTCAGCCACGACCTGGAGAGATGGAAGAATTAAATAGCTATATATATGTATCTATACACACGGAGCGAGACGGATCGGTTTATATCTCTGTCTATATATATATAAATATCTCTCTATAAATATATATCTCTCTATATGCCGGTTATTTGTTAGCCCCAGACTTTTCCCCAGACTTCTGTGGAGGGAGGCAGGGCTGCTGGGTATAGCCCCTCTCAATGTTGAGGAAAAAAAGAAAGTCAATGTGTGTTTATATAGAGGCGGGGAAGCCGGGGCTGGGCTGGCCGCCAGCACGGCTGCCCCCCCCCGCACCCCCCACCCCCCCCTTTTCCAACCCCCCCCCCCCCCCCCCCACTTCAGAGGCTCCGGGGGGGCCGGGCCGAGCCGGGCGGCCGCGGCGCTGGAGCGTGCGAGCCCTGGCCGGCCGCCCGCCGCCCGGTCACGCCGCGCTCCTCATCCTCCTCCTCCTCCTCCTCCTCCTCCTCCTCCTCCTCCTTCTCCTCCTCCTTTCTCCTCCTCCTCTTCCTCCTTCCCCGCCGCCGTCCGTACCTTCGGCCTGCGGAGAGAGAAGCTCGGCTCAGCTTCCCCCCCCCCCCCACCCCCGTCGCCGGATGACTTGCCCCCCCCCTTCAATATTTAACCATTTAACCCTTAACGATCCCCCCCCCCATAATTTTCCCCGCACACCCCCCCCCCTACGACTCCCCCTCGCAATGCTCCCCCAACACTTCACCCTCAATGATCCCCCCCTACGACGAGCCCCCCCCCATATTTAACCCTTAATGATCCCCTTCCTTCCAATGATCCCCCCCATCATTTTCCCCTCACCCCCCCCAATGACTCCCCCTCGCAATGCTCCCCCCAATGATTCCCCCCCCCCGCAACGATCCCCCCCCAAATACTTAATCTTTAATGATTCCCCCCCTTACGACGATCCCCCCCCCATATTTAACCCTTAATGATCCCCTCCTTCCAATGATCCCCCCACCCCCCCGATGACTCCCCCTCGCAATGCTCCCCCCAATGATTCCCTCCCCAAATACTTAACGATCCCCAACTTACGACGAGCACCCCCCCATATTTAACCCTTAATGATGCCCTCCTTGCAGTGATCCCCCCCAATGTCTCCCCCTTGCAGTGATCCCCCCAATACTCAACCCTCAATGATTTCCCCCCTGCAACGACCCCCCCAACATTTCATCCTTAATGAGCCCCCTTTGCGATGGCCCCCCAATACTTAATCCTTCATGATCCTCCCTCACAACGATCCCCCCAATATTTAATCCTTATTAATTTCCCCCTTCCGACCGTCCCCCCAATATTTAACCCTTAATGATCCCCCCTTGCGATGACCCCCACACTATATTTAACCCTTAGTGAGTCCCCTTTACAATAACCCCCCGAATATTTAACCCCAAATGGCTTCCTCCTTTACAACGATTCCCTCTCCCAAGATCTACCCCCCCAAATAATTTCCCCTATACAATAAGCCCCCCCCCCAATACTTAACCCTTAATGATTCCCCCTTGCAAGAATTTATTTCCCACCAGAATTTCCCCCAGTGATTCCCCCCACACACCAGATTTATACCCCGATGATTTTCCTTTTTCAGTGATTTACCCCCCAACACTAATTTGTCCCAGGCAATTATTCACCTCTTCCCCAATAATTTCCACCCCCCACCCATTGATCTGACCCTCTCTCATTATTTACTCCTTGCAATAATTTACCCTCCCCATAGATTCTGACCTCCCCCCCCCCGGCATTTCCCAGCTCGCAGCTCCTTGCTACCCTCACTGATTTGCCCCTTCAGTGACTTACCCCCCCAAGGATTTACCCCTGCAATAATTTGGCCCTTTGCAATGATTCCTCCCCCCCTCCAATTAATTTCCCAATTAATTATTTGCTCCCAGTGATTTGCCCCTTGCAATGATTTACTCTCTGCCCCCACAATATTTTTTTGGGGGGGTTTGCTATATTCCACACACCCCCTTTTTTTTTTTTTTTTTTTTTTGGCGGGGGGGGAGGCAGGGCTGTGATTTTCCTGACACCCCCCCCACACATACACCCCCAGTGCTTTCCAAGACAGGGGAGCTCAGCGCTGGGAGACCCCCCACTTTACCCGAGGGGTGTTGCCAACCCAGACACTGCCTTGCACAGGAGGCTGCAACACGACCCCCCCACCACCCCGTTCAATCCCCCCCCCCCTCAGCCCCAGCAGCGATGGAGGCAAAGGCAGGTATCCGGACTGCCTGGTTACAGGCACTTTTGCAAAGCATTTGCTTCAGATTACAGGAAAAACAAAAGTTCATTGAGTTCCCCCCCCCTTCTCCTTCGCTAGCCCCCCCCTCCTACCCACCCCCCCACCCCAGTCTCCCCAGCTGGTTTGAGTCTGGTGCCCGGTGGAACTAAGTCTCCCCCCCCCCCCCGCTGCGGCTCCTGAGGAGTTGAGGGGTGTCGTGTGTGTGTGTCCCCCTTCCTTTGGGGTGACCCCGGGGGGGGGGGGAGCTGGACCTGGAGCCCCTTTCCTGCGTGTCCCGCTGCGGGGATGGACGCGGGGTGCGGGGATCCCCCCCCCCCGGGAAATCCCTCGGGTGGGCGAAGCGACCCCCCGCCTCCCCCCTGGTATCCTTGGGTACCCCAGAACCCCCCCCGGTCCCCCCCCTCCTTGCTGACCGCCTCTCCCCGTGTATCCCAGTGCAAAGACACCCCACCCCCCCCACCCCCCCCCCCCCGCAGCATCCCCATGTATCCCAACGATGGGAATTTCCACCGTCACCACCCCAGCGGTGCATCCCGATGGAGGGAGATACCTCCCCCCCCCCCCCATACAACACCCCCCCCACCCCGTGCACCCCGCTGCAGGGATCCCCCCCCCAATTGCAGAACCTCCCCCCCCGGTGCAGGACCCCCCTCCCGCTGCATGAGCTCCCCCCGCTCAATTGCAGGACACTCCCCCCATCGCAGCCCACCCCCCCCCCCCCCAATCTTTCCCCGTTTCAGGCACCCCCCATTGCAGTCCCCCTCTCATTGCAGCCCCCCCCGCCCCCCGGGGTGCAGGGGCTCCCCCTTCCATTGCAGTCCCCCTCGCTTTCCCGGTGCAGGACTCCCCCCCATTGCAGCCCCACCCTCCCGGTGCAGCAGCTCCCCCCCCCCCGCATTGCAGCCCCCCCATTACAGGCCCCCCCCCCCCCTTCCCCGTTGCAGGACCCCCCCTCATTACAGCCCCCCCCCGGTGCAGGAGCTCCCCTCTCCCATTGCAGCCCCCCCTCCCATTGCAGCCCCCCCCCCCCCCCCCCCCGAATTGCAGGCCCCCCCTCCCCGGTGCGGAGCGGCCCCCCCCCCCCCCCGCCGCCGCGCTCACTCTTTGCCCTGTCGCCCCACCCGGTGGCTGCCGGCGGCACTGCAAGCGCCGGAGCGCAGGTGCCCGCACCGCTCCGCGCCTCTCCGCGCCTCTCCGCGCCGCGCAACGCCGCAGCCCCCCTCCTCCCTGCAGGGTACCCCGCTGGCTCGGCCCGAGGCGGCTCCCCAAATCACCTCCCCAAAATACCACACCCCCCGCCCCCCTCCCCAAAGCATCTTCCCAAATCACCTCCCTAAAAAAATCACCTCCCCAAAGCATCTTCCCCCAGCACTTTCCTAAAACACCGTCCCGAAGCGTTTTCCAGAAGCATCTTCCCAAAACACCCTCCCGCGGCATCTCCCTGAAGCACCTTCCCGAAGGATTTTCCCAAAGTGCCCCCCCCCCCCCCAAAGCATCTTCCCCCAGCGCTTTCCTAAAACACCTTCCCAAAGCATCTTCCTGGAACCCTTCCTCAGGCTCCCAGAAGCACCATCCCGGAGCACCTCACGCCGCCCCGAAGCGTTTCCCCAAAATACCTTCCCTAACCCCCCCCCCCCCCAAAACACCTTCCCAAAACGCTTTCCCAAACAAACACCTTCCCAAAACACCTTCCTCAAATTTCTCCTGCCACGCTCCCCACTGTTCCCTGCCCACCCTAGGAGACACCACCCCCCCCCACCAGAGCCTGGACCCCACCAGCCGAGCTGAACCCCCCCGCCGAGCAAGGAAAATGGGGGGAAGCTCAGCTCCCCCCCTCGCCCCCCTCCCCAGATCAGTGTGGAAGGGGACCCCACGCACATCTTGGGGCGGTGGCAGCCAGCACGATGCTGGGCTGAGGGGCTCAGAACCCCAAAAAGACATTTGAGAGAAACTCATCCAGCGCCAGCAGCTTCGCTTCGGCCCCTGACGGCAGCCCCCGCCACGGAAAATCCCCCCAGGAACCCCCAAACCACGGGGCCAAGCAAGAGATGTGCCCAGCAAAGAGGGAGGCCTCGTCTGCTTTGCTTTCCTCCTCCCTTTCCCAAGGGAAAAACCATCCCTGAGATGCTCTCGCCTCCCCCCCCCCCCCCCCCCCCCCCCCCAACAAAGCCCCGGTGCGTGTGAACAGAGCTCGTGTCCCGAAATGTCTCCTGCTGCTTTAGAAATCTGTGAAAATGCCCCTTTGAGGGGCTGGGAGAGGGACAGAAATAAGTCACTGGTGCGTATTTTCACAAGAATCTATTTCTTTTCCCCGCTGGGGGGGGGGGGGGGGGGAAATTCAAGGATAAGGGTGAAAAGCCTAAAAAAGATTTGGGTTTTTTAGGGGTTTCTTTTTGTGCAGAATTCTGCCCTCTGGAGATAAACCCATGAGATTCCAGAGGAAAAAAAAATGGCTTTTCCAAGGTCAGCGGCAGAGCTGAAACCGGGTCAGTGGGGTGCAGCCACGGCCCTGCCTGGACACTCCTGGCTTTGCCCCAACTTTTACCCTAATCTGGATAATTTTATCATCATCCGCAAATAAAGCCGAAAGCCCGTGAAATTCCAACTGGGTGGTGGAGGAGGTCAACGGGGGGGGGGGGGGGGGAGCAGTAATTCAGGAGGAGGAGAGGGCTGACGGCACCGGCCGGCGACGGCTTTGGTCACACCGGCCCCGGGGAGCGTTTCGGTGGTGGGTGCTGCGCCCGACAGGAGTGGGTGACCCCGAGGAAATCGTCGCCCCGGGACGCGGCTGAGCCCAAAAAAAGCAGCCGTGGGGTTGGGGTTCCCGCCTCCTGGGGCTCAATCCCGCTTTCCCCCTGAGGCCAGACCCCGGAGGCCAATTCTGCAACAGAAAGAGGATCATTCCCGTTTCTTCCCAGGCCAGGAAAAAACAGAAAAATTCAGTGCGAGGAGGGAACAACCTGCCCCAGGAAAAGCCCTCCGGGCTCTCCCGCAGACTGATGCTGCTCTGTGCCCCGAATTTCTCTCTTTTCTAAATTTAATGGGTTTTGGCTTCCCTAGAGCGGGCGACGCTCTCCCTGAAGCTCCTAAAAAAACTCCAGCGCTGTTAAATTCCGGCTGGAGAGAGCAGCAGAGAGTCCCGTCGGTTAAACGCAGCGCTGCCTTGCTTGGCGAATCCTCATCATTAGTGAGTGCGGGGTTGTTCTGCTTTCCCGGGTCATCCCTGGCTCTTTCCAGGAGGGTAGAAAGAGGTGCTTGATTTGCTCCCTGCACACACAACCCCCCCCCGTGCATTTTTCTTTCCCCTTTTTCACGGCCGCTGCCGGCCCCGGCAGAGCGAGCTGCATCCCTCTCGGCCACACAGACGGAGCGGATGCCCTGAAATATTCCTGGAGCCTGCCTAGGTAATATTTTTATTTTTTAATTATTTTTTTTTCCAAAGGGAGCAGTCGCTTCTGAAATCGCCTTTTCTTTTTCTCGTCGTTGAACACTTGCTTGTCTCCCATCCTTTTTTTTTTTTTTTTTTTTAATGCACTGATTTTTTCCTGTCCGTTTCACGGCCAGCGCAGGCAAAACCCACCAAAAGGGGAATTGGGAGGAACTGGAAAGGCACAAGTGCACTTTTCAATTTTCACAGCCCCTTCAAAGACTGGTTTTATCACACTGCTCCCACACCACGTGTAGCGTGCAACGCTATTTCTATTCAACTTAAAAAAATCAAATTCATCCAAATAACTTTAATTTTTGAGCCGGGACTCCCTGCTAACGGTCTGCTACGAATGTTGCTAATTTTCTTTTGGTCTGACTGTGTGTTTTATTTCTAGTGGGCATGAATGTTCTCGCCTCTGACAACATTTTTATAGCTGATTTGATGGCTTTTCTGTGACGGACCGCAACGTCCTTTCTAACCGCTCAGCCACCTGTACGGCCGCTGTGCCGCTCCCCGGGGCACTGCAGGACAGCCAGAACGTATGGCAGCTTTACATTTCAGAGATATCCCAGCTCCAGCTCCTTTGTAATTTAACCACTGTCCCTGCCAGGCTATTAATGGGAAAAAAAAAAAAAAAAAAAAGAAAAAAAAGAAAAAAACAACCAAATCTGATAATTCAATTTTGCAACCAAATTGGCAACCAGATTTGCAATGTAGTTTTTTGCAACCACATCCCCCGTTTGATTTTTTGCACCCAAATCTCCGATTTAATTGTTGCTTCTTGATCGGTTTTGCTATTTTTCGCCCCCAAAGCGTGCCGCAGTCCCGGGGGGGTCCCGGCAGCCGGTGCCCAGCAGCCAGCGTGCCCTGCTTGGAGCGGAGTTACACCACTTCCCCCACTTGGGAATAGGCCCCCAGTTCTGGTTTAGGGCTTTGTTTTGCTTTGCTTGCTCTTTTTTTTTTTTTTTTTTTTTTTTTTTTTTTTCCACCAGGCGCCTTTAAAGCCCCGCAATGAAATTTTGAAGTTGTCATCGCTGGTTTTTTCACCCCTCAGATGAAAGAAAACAACAACAAACCCCTTGGGCAGAAGCGGTTCAATAAAAACCGAGGGGAGCGAAGGATGGGGAACAGATATTTTGTGAGTGATTGGGTGCAGCTCCCCGGCGCTGGAAACCCCTCTCAGCCACCAGCTCCCACCAGGGATAAAAAATAAGAATCAAATCCGTATTATTCTCGCCACTTACCCAACCTTGAAGTCCAAGTTGGCTTCAGCCACCCCGAAGCCGTGGGTCCCGCGGATCGCTCCCCACGCCGGGGAAACCCGGAGCATTTTATAGCGTGAAAGCTGGGGTGGTCCCCGCCCACAGGGTGCTGCTTGAAAATGAGTATTCATAAGCATTTAGGGACGATGACAATGTAAAGCTTCCTCCGCGCCCCCCCAGCCCCGGGCTGCCGCCCGCCCGCATCGCCAGCCAGGCCCCCTCCGGCCCGCGTCCTCCTCTCCTCCATCACCCCGCTGCAAAAAAACCTTATTTTTATTTAAAATGCTCAGAGAGGCTCTCGAATATTGTCTCCCCGACTCCCCACTCGCACCCTTTGCAGGAGCAGCTCGTGGGGTGGTTTGTTTTTTGAGTATTTTTGGTTTCCTTTTTCCTTTTTTCCTTCTTTTTTTTCCCCTTCATTTTTTTCTTTTTTTTTTTTTCCCTTTTTTTTCTTCTTTTTTTCCCCTTCATTTTTTTCTTCTTTTTTTTTCCTTCTTTTTTTCCTTCTTTTTTTTTTTTCCCCTTTTTTTTTTTTTTTTTTTTTGAAAAGCCTCTGAAACCAGAATGTTTCTGCAAAGAGTTTATCAAATTACATTTGGGGACAAAGAGCTAAAGTGCATTTTCTTGAAGGCTTGACAATTGGGGAGCCATCAAGGAAATGAAAAGAATGACAGAAAACCAAAGGCTTTTGTCAGATGGAGAAACGCCATCGAGAAAAGCCAGGGTTGGGGGCCTTTATTTTTGTTTTGGTTGGATTTCCTTTCGACTTTCTTTTCCCAGGTGTTAAAGTTGGGGCTGTGGGGAGGGCAGGGAAAAGCAAGGAAAAGCCGTTCGGTTTGGGGGGGACCTAAATGGGGGATTTCTCCTCCCGTTTTTTTAACAGGATGCCAGTGTTTAAAAGAAAAATGAAGCCCCTTTAGAAATGTGAAGCTGCCGAGATAATGACTGCGATCTCTCTAAGACTGGATGGGAACAGGTGATATTTTTTTCTTCCTTTCTTGTTCCCATCTGTCCTTTGTTCAATATGAGACCAGAGAGAGACAGAAACGAGATCATTTTGATATTCCCCTTTTTGTGCATATGCCTTCTCCCAAGGAAAAGGAACGTGGCTTGGTCCCACTCCAGGCGTTATTACAGAGGGTGGCTACAGAGAGATACACAAATAAAACCAAAATAAAATCCCTCGACTCAGTTTTTTACCCCTTATAAAGCGAGAAGCGGGGTGTCCGGGTCCGCTCGTAACCTGCCCTCGGGGCTGAGCTCTGCACGGTCCCTCGGGAAGATGCTCCGGGGACACCCGCGCAGCCCCTCGGGGTTATCCCTCCCACCCGTAGATTTATTCCCATCCACTCTCAATTTTCTTCCCCCCCCCCCCCCCCCCCAGGTGCCACCCCGCATTGCAACAGCATCTCGCCGTCGCTCTCAGCCCCTTTCTCCCTCCCCTCCAGCCACCCCGTCCCTCCATCCCCTCTTCCAACCCCAGTGCCGGGGCAATAAGCCGGTGGGCAAACGCTTCGATGCCCCTTGGGTGCATCCCGAATTCTGGGCAGGCATCCCCGTGGGCATCGGCGGGGCTTGCACGCAGCAAGTTTTGAGCTTCTGTTGCTTCATTTTTTTATTTTATTTTTTTTTTTTAAAATGCTCAATTAGGGACATTTTGCACGTTTTCTCTGGTCCCGCTTCTGAAAATAGGAAGATTTAAGCTCCTGGCTGGGTCAAAGAAGCAGGGATGCCACTGCCTTTCCCTGCAAACTGGCAATATTTTCTGTATATTGTGAATAATCTCAGGTACCCAGTCTTTCTTTAATCTCTCCTGGTTTTAAATCTTTTATCAGAAGAAGAGAGTATTTTCCCAAGTCTCCTCCTTTTTTTTTAATTTTCTTTCTTGCTTTCTAGATCATCTCCTATTTTATCTTCTTTTCAAGTATCTCTGCAAAACATTGCCCTAAAAAATCTGGTTTAAATGCCTCGCTGAAAACCCAGCCCGCCAGCTCTGGCTGGTATTTACTCTCTTTTTCCTAACAAACTTCCTTTTTCATTCTGCTACCAGCAAAACCATTCTCCCAAATCTCAGCCCTTTTTGAAAACCATCTGGCTTTTCCCCTGCCTGGGTCTTCGGCGAGCAGCAGATAATTACTCGAAAGGGTGGGCTGCGAAGGATTTTTGCATCATTGCAAGAATACAGCCGCTATTATTCTACATGCCATGCAGCCTTTTAGAAAATTAAAAAGGCATAACGAGAAACATCTTACCCTGCTCGGAAGGAAAATAAACTACGTTGAAGTTTCTCCGTTCATCTCAAAAGAAAATGCCAGGGTAATCCGAGACAGGGACCGGCTGGGAGGGAGGGAGGGACCAAGGGGTACATGTGTGCATGTGTATATATATATATATATGTGTGTATACGTTCAAGAGATGGGATTTTGAAGATGCTGCTGAAACACTATTTATATCCCAGACCTTTTAATAAAAAACACTGCTGAAGAGGCAACTTCAAGGACACGCTGAGTGGGAATAACTCAAAGTTTGCTCAGGAACCTCTTTCTAAGACCAGGTTTTCCTCGCTGAAAGCGCCGGGTGCACGTGAAGGGGGTGTATGGGGGGGGGGGGGCTGGGATTTACACCGTTATCCTGGACTTTCCCCCTTCTCTCCGCGCTAAAAATTCCCACCGGCTCCCTTTCCCCTCCCTGCTCCTGCCCCCTCTCCAACTCATCCAAAATCCTTTGAAAAAGAGTTAAAAGTGTTCGTAGAAAGAGAGCGGTGGAGACCGTCGGCTTTTTGCTCGTGATTTTAGATCGGTGGCAAGCAAAGGGCTGGAGCCGACGCGCACGTTAAGCTACCCAGGGCGATGTCCTACTGCCAGCTCCCGTCCCTCGAGTCCTGCCTGCTCTGCTTATTAAATCCCGCTGGGAAAAACAGGGAAGAAGAGGGGGTAGAAAAAGAAAAGAAAGAAAACAAAACAAGACCCAAATGAAAAACACATCAAGCCTCAAACGAGAGGAAGTTCAGCGTGGGATTCATTGTCCCTTCGAGCGCCGAGACGAAGGGCTCGGCTTGTGCCAGGGACACACTGCCCTCCAGAGACCCCGAGCGGGGTTCCCCGCCGAGGAGATGCTTTCCTAAAGGACCCCCCCGAAACCCCCCCTTTCCCCCTCCCTTCCTTTTTCAAATTGCTTTTCTTTCGGCTCAAAGAGCCGAGGATGGCGGCCGTCTCCAGAGCTGGGGCGCCCAGGGCGCGTGTGCCCAGCGGTTGGGGCACCCGGGATTTAAGGCACCCAGACTGCAGAGCACCCAGCAGCACCCACACTAGAGAGGGACCCCCTCTCTGCTCACCCTGCACCCTCCCAGCCTGCCGCACCTGCAGCCCCAAGAAACCTTAAACAGAAGGGAGATGCTCTGGGATGAGGCCGCCCCTTTGCTGCAGAGTTTTGGGGTGAGGCACCCACTGGTGACACAGAGGGGGACCCCAGGGTGGAAACCCCCACTCAGGGCTCCTGGGTGTTCAACCTGCTCAAAAAGCAGGTGCGCAGGGGCGCAGGATGGTGCCCCTGGGCCAAAGGAAGGTGCTGGGAGCTCACTCAGCCCTGGGGACAAGAGGTGGCACCAAAAAGCAGGATAGGGGAGGGATGGGTGTCTGTTGTCCTAGTCGGATAACACCAGGCCTGCGTCCCAGTTAGGCACGAGGGTTGGTTGATATCTTTTTCAAAAAGAGGAAAAAAAAAAAAAAAGCCATAAACCAGCTCTTTTTCCTCCATCAGAATTCAGCAATTTTCAATTTACCATTTTTTTTTTTTTTTTTTTTTTAAGCAAAGCAAGAAGGGACGTCTTTCTTCTCTGCGTCCAGAAAATGCGAGGGAGGTTTGTGAGACAGGAAAAGTTTTGGGGAAGAGGAAGAGAACAGCATTTTTCAGAACTAGTCTTTCTAGTCTGGGGAAGTTTGGGGAAGTTTTCCCACTTCCCTCAAGGACACGTGGAACGAAGCTGAAAGCAACACGGCTCATTTTCTTGCAAAAATGCTTCATCCCCTTTCAAACTGGTCTAAATCTTGCAAGCTGCTTATGTGACGTTGTGATTCAAAGGAAACACAACGGCCCCACTGAAACCCACAGAAGAAATTGGTATTTCACTCGTGGATGAGGTGGGGTGATGTTGGCTCCGAGTTTTCTCTGTCTCCTGAAACACACATTGATGGCTTCTCTAGCCCATCTTTGGCAACACTGAGTCACAAGGACATTTTCCCATTCCCTTCGCAGAATTCAGTTTTCTTTTAAGGCAAACTGCCTTAAACCCCAAATCAATTCATGCTCCCAGTTAAAAATTAGGGAAAGAAATTCATATCCCGTTCGAACCACGTTTAGGTTTTCTGAGAAGTCAAAACCCGTCTTCCTGCGTAATGAAGCCTGGATTTACGCTGGGAACAGAAACTAGTAGCTTCAGCAATAACTAGGCGCTCTGTGGGGTGCCCCATTGGGCTGGTTTGGGGGGTACTGGTACAGGATAACTGGGCGACGTTGCCCCCTTTCTGCATCCTCTGCTCCCGTTTGCACGACGGCGAGCAAATCCATAAATGCGCCTTGGATATCCAGGGTGACAAGGCCCCAGGAAAAAAAAAAAAAAAAAAAAAAAAAAAAAAGGTAACAAAAAACAAACAAACAAACAAAACAAACCCAAACCTTTGCAAAGGGTTTTTTGAGGCCTGGGTGAAACCGTATCAAATCTCCGGAGCTGGCAAGCGGCGTGGGGAGGAAGTTGTTAACATTTTGGTGTGAGAAGGTACCTGCTCATCCTTTCAGCCTCCGCCGTGCCCCTCGCCATTCAAGCCGGGCACGTGAACAGTTACGGTTAAAAGCACAAAACCTTTGCACAAAACACCGCAGAGTGACCTAGTAGCTAAAAGCTCATTTGCATTCATTAACAGAGCCGAGCCAAGTTCAGAGCTATTACCGCAGACCTGCTCCCCCTCCTCTCCGTCCCCCCCGCCCCGTCCCCCTTACCTGCCCCGTGAAAGGTCCCTCTCTCCGGTTGAAGCTCAAGGGATCGTGCTGGGCTCGAGACCTATCAAGTGACAGAGAAAATAATTCACTTTGAAAGAGGATGCATCCCCAGGGCCGGGCGCTGAGGCCTCCGAAGAGGCGGCTCCGCACCGATTTGGGAGGCTTTGCTCCGCCGGGAGAGGCACGGATGTGGCCAAGGGCTTCCAGCTCTCGCTGCTGCCCAAGGAGCCGGGGAAGGGGGTGGCCGTTCCCAGGGTGAGGCAGGGAATATCCAGGGAATTGATTCCCCCGCCGCTGCATCCTTCCCTGCCTTCTAATGGGTGATTGGATTTAAGCAGAGGAGAGATGGGGCATGAATTTAGCAAGCAAAGAGGAGGTTTATTTGCTCCTGGGGGCATCCCCTGTCTCCAGGAGTGCCGAGATGCTCCCTGGGACGCTCTCCCAGAGAGGTTTCCCCAGAAGAACCTCTCCTCTCCCTCCAAGGGCACATCCCAGTAGCATCCCAGCAAGCCCTCCCGAGCTCTTGGCAGAAACTCTGCACCCGAGGTTATCTCCAACACGAAACCAGTGCCCCCAGACCTCCTACACTTGGGGCCCAGTTCGGCACAGCCTCCTGATGAGGATCCTGACGAGGAGGATCCTGACGAGGAGGATCCTGATGAAGGCTGGCGGGCAGAGGGGCGGCCCGAGGGGACCGTGTGCCTGTCGCCACGGCGGCAGCCCCCTAAAACCCCCAACGTGCCACCAGCGCCTCGTGTCTCCGTCCTCCGGCTCGCCGACGTGGGTGTGCGCCGGAGGACGGACCCACGGCCGCCGTGGTGCCCCCAGGGCGAGGGACCGGGCTGGCTGCTCGGGCCGGGGGATGCTCCCATGGCACAGTGGCGTGGCCCAGAGACGGGCTGCGACTTACAGGGCTGGATCCCAATGCTCAAAACTGCTGTAAAAATCTCCAGGGCGCTGGGCCATCCTTCTCCGTCTCGCATTGTCTACCTCTCGCCCTAGACGGTTCTCATTAAGCGCCGCAATTGATCTCCTGTCTTTAAAGGAAACAAGAAAAAAGGAACAAACCAAAAGGGATCCTCCTTCCTTCAGCCCAGGGGAACAAATCTGGCTTTAATTTCTTTTCCTTTTGTCATTCCAGTCGGGATTTCACTTTAACGACGCTGCCTTCCCCACTCTTCTTCTTCTGCTCTTCGAGAAACAGGAAAGTACCCCCTCCGCTTTCGATGTTTCCTCCCTTTGTTCTCCACGCCGCTTCTCTGATTTATGAAAAGACTTTTCTCTCCCTATATCTTTCTCGTTGGGAGTCGAGGACCCCTAAAAAGTGGTCATCCCCACCCCGGAGTTCAGAAGAGCCGCTCTGCGGCTTGCTCTGATGTTTCTGACTGGCACTAAATATTTCATCTCCGCTGGGAAGGTGCTGGAGGACCACACCTTGGGAGCTATCCTTTGGGATGGGGGCTTCAAATTTATGCTACCAAATGGCTTTGATTTCCAGTAATGGGAGAAAATCCACTCCAGCACCCAGCATAATTCATCCCCAAGTGGGTAGGAGGAGGCTGACAGACTGATCCGCCGGGATTAACCTCGCCAGGAGATTAAATCCTGCACGGCAGCGCTGTAGAAGACCCAGGAGAGATGGTAAAATCACCTCCTTTCCCTGACCCGTGGGCAGACCCTCGCCGGCACAAATCACGGTGCTGCACGTGGAGGGTGTGAGAAGGAGCCGGCGCTGCTCCGAGGGAGTGTGATGATAATACCAGGGAAAAAAGCAGGATTTAGGGGTTAAGGTGGGAAGGGGCATGGAGCACAATGGTCTTTTAATCAGAAAATGAGACCAAAATAACGGTCTTTTAAGCAGAAAATAAGCCCCAGATATGTTCTTTTCATTTGGCATATGCATCAAAAAGTTATTAAAAGAAACTGGTTAAATATCTCATTAATGAAGATGAATGATGCCTCAGATTTGTTTTTAAACAGTTCAAAGTGATTTCTTTCTGACCTCCCAAAGTGTGTGTGTGGAGGGGGATCTCAGTGGCTTAAAATGTTCTTTTTTTTTTTTTTTTTTTTTTTTTTAAAAAGCATCTTAAAGTGATTTCAGTGCTGGAGCTGCTGCTGCACACCCTGGGAGGGAGAGATCAGGCTGGGACATGAGAAAATCAGTTTGCTGAGTGCAGAAACACACCAGGGAGGGATCTGGGGCGGGGGGGGGCGGACGGGGTGGGGGGATTGCTCTGCAGAAGAAACAGCACTAAAATCCTCCTCAAATCACAGCTGGACCTTCCCCAGATGGCAAGCTCCGAAGGATGCAGGTTGGCCCACCGCCGTCCCCAGCCCGCCGTCCCAGCCCGGGACACCAAGCCTTGCCCCGGGGACCAGATCGGACGGGGTGTCCTCCTGAGCTCTCATTCACACGCTCACACCCCCAGACTGCCCCACGGATCCCCAAATCAAAAGTATCCCAGCGCCTGCAAAGGCCAGAGACGGGCGGGAGCGGAGGGCAGGGGAGGGAGGAGCGCGTTTTCAGATTGGTTTTTGATACACAGCCTAAAATAAGGCACAGAGGAGCTTCTTTTAAGAATGATTGCATTAAAATAGTCCTCTCCATTACACAGACACTAATAGAGGCTCAGTGCATTATTTCTATCAAAGTGCAATTTGCATTTACAAAGGGGTCCTGGGAAGTGATGGATGGGGAAGGAATGGAGAAAGGCTTGTAAAGCCGAGCGTGCTCATCTTGGAGTAACTTTCAAGCACAAGGCGGTTTTTCTTACACCTTCCCCTCCAAAGAAACTCGTGACGTCTGCTTAAATGAACATTCAGGCTCTCGCCTTTCACCCCGCAGCCCATCAATAAAAGCCGGAGGAGCGGAGGAGAGGGGATATTCATTTATCTTCATTAGGACTCTGGCCAGCTCCTCTGATCACCACGTCGGCGTCGCCGGGAAGAGAAAAAGCTACTGTTCCTTTCCCCAGCTTCCCTGCCCGCACACGCACACCCCAGCACGGGGCTCGCGAGCCTCTCGGGGTGGTGGGACCCCACTCAGCACCTGCCCTCAGCCGAGGGAAAAACGGGATTTTGAGGGTATCCCCCTTTTCTCTGCTCCTTCGCAGAAGCCGAGCTCCGGGAGAAGAGCAGGCAGTGAGGGGAGGGCGAAGGAAAAAGCAAACGAACATCACGCGATACCCATCCGTGGAGGCAGATTAAAGAGGAGGGGAACCCTATTAGGCAGGCAGAAGATGAAATGGGTGATATCTGCCCTGAATATCTTAAAGGGGTGACATCTGGCCTGAGAGCTCTGCCCCAAGCACCAGCCTCCACACCCCCCTACGTGCATTGGCTTTTTGGAGGCCCACTCCCGCTTTGGCCAAGGGGGGATCATTTTGGGAGAGGCACTTCACCCTCCCTGCCCTGCTCAAGGTTTCCTCCCATCGACGCGCTGAAACACCCCCTCCTTCAAAGCCCTCTGCAAACCTTGCTGGGATGCTGAGGGGCAGAGCCTGCGGTGCCCAGGGATGTCACACAACCGTCACTGGATGCTCTCCCACCTCTTCCCGTGAAGGGTGACCCCCCCCGGGAGCCACGTACTGGCAGTCAAGTACTTATGGAGTGAATGGAGACCTCAGGTTTGGGTTCCATACTCCTCCCGAAACCCAGCAGCAGCTCCCTGAAACCCCCTCCTGAAACGCACCCTCAGCTCTCCCAGCTCTCTCCTTGGTCACTCGAAGAGACATCCAGTTCTTCTTTGACCCTTGATAAATTTTTGAGCCTTGGTGGCTTCCAGAAGCAACAAAGTCTGCTGTCCAGGAAGCCTTTGGAGAATAACCAAGGGGACCAGGCCTTTAAGAGATGTCAGACGTCAAATTTAGCCGACTTTTTTGCACCACCATAGTAAAGGATTAAACTTTTAAAAACACTTTGCACGGCTTTGTGTTGCCTGGTGTTCAATGTTGCTGTGTTTAAGTTCTCCCTGGGGGCGAAGGTCCAGAGCAAGACTATCACACCTAAAAGGAAATCTCTTCTTTCATCAAGTATTTCCCGTCTTTGTAAGTTTTCTTCCAATGTCTATCAGAGCAGTCCTCTTGGCGTCTAAAATTTATCACCTGAAATGGGAGGGAGCCCACAGGACAACGTATTTCAGGAGCTGGAGGAATCACTTTATGGTGGAAAAGCCACATCGGGGACCCACTGCTGACAGTGGGTATGGCTCATCCCACCTTCGTGGGGCTGTCCTCAGGCAAGGCACCGGCTCCAGGCTCGCTCTCTGGTGCTTTCAGAGATGGAGGCATCTCCTCCCAGGGCTGGCGTTTCAGAGGGACATGATCTGTCCTCCCACAGAAGTGCCCGTGTCTCAGGATGGGATGCATCTCTCCCTGAAGTGCCTCGTGGCCTGGCATAGCCCCACTTCAGCAAGAGGAAGAAGGCAGTAAGAAGATAATAAGGAGGGAAGGCACGTGGCTGATATACTCTGGGGTGGGCGGTGTGACAGGAGACTAGAATATTCTGGTCTGGCAAGGGCATTCACCGGGAAGACATTAAGATTCGCATCACGTGCGTTTCTTCTGGTTGAACACAGACATTTCACCCAAGAGCATCTGTTCCTCTGTACTCAGAGTGCTACAAGCCATCTCATCCTCATTTCGCCGCCCAAAATCAGACAGGGAATCCCAGGTGGGAGGGTCTGCTCTTGTCCTTCAGCTCTAGAAAGATCCCAGGGGTCTAAAGTTGGGTGAGATGAAACCCTCTCCCACATTTCGATGAGAAAGCCGGATTCAGGGTCCTCATAGCACAGGCACCAACTTCCCAGGAGCAGTGAGGGAATTGGGTATTGTTTCTTCTCAGCAGTTTTGGGAGCATTTTTCTTAGGTTTGTTCTCTCCCTTGTTTTCCTTTGGGGGTTCCTAAGCCACACACTAGGCACCAGCCCCGGCAGAGAGGTGACACAAAGGGTGGAGCGAGGGGTGATCCCTTCCCTTGCGGTCCTGGACACGGCTGGGTGACCCGAGAAGGACCAGCCAGTGCTCCGGCCACCACAGGAATCACCATGGTCCCCTCTGCTGCACCATCCCCACTCATTCCCCAGCCTTGTTCAGCACCAGCAAAAACCCCCTGGGAAGAAAAAACCCAGAATACAGCTTGTGACTGCTGAGCACTAAAGATGATGGATTGAAGAGCAGTATTGCTCTCCCAGCGTTTTACAGGCTTCCCCAAGAGCAGCTTCTCTGCTTCACAGGCAGTTATTGCCTCTATTTTCTCTCTGGTTTATGGGATTAACAACCATATCACCTCTGCCCTTCCTAACCTACCGCTCTGCCTGACAACCACCTTTTTTTTTTTTTTTTTGCCTAATTGCCCAGCTGACATCATTAAGTCTCACTCAGTCATCCCTGGCCAGGACTTGGTTTGAAGCGTGCTCTACTCTGGACCCACAGAAAGGTTCACACGCCTGAAAACGTGCCCAGCTCTACTCACAGAAAGCACTTGCAGAAAATACTGCTTCTACCTAAAGCCCCACCTCAGGGCTTCAGAAATGGGACAGAGCAAACCAACTCCTTTCTCTCCCAGCTCCTCTGCCCTTGCAATCGGAGCTGGCTCGAGCATCAGTCTGCTTCACCAAGTCCTGCACGAGAGCCGAGGACACACCACACACTCTTTTCACAGAAATAAGGCTTGCAACTGTGCGGGCTACGAGGAAGGAAGGATGATGGACAGGGTTACAAGGACTTGTAGCTACTTCCATGCTAGCCACCACTCAACGCACCTGACCGCCTACTCCTGTTTGCTGCCTTCCTCCCCACCTCAGCTCAGAGCAGATCAATTCTGTCAAGCCCCAGCAGTTTTCCACTCCCAGCCCCAAGAAGCATTATTTTATAGAATCACAGAATCGTGACGTGGTTTGGGTTGGAAAGGACCTTGAAGATCATCCAGTGCCACCCCCTGCCCCGGGCAGGGCCCCCTTCCCCCAGCCCAGGGGGCTCCCAGCCCCGTCCAACCTGGCCTTGAACCCTTCCAGGGCGGGGGCAGCCACAGCTGCTCTGGGCACCCTGGGCCAGCGCCTCACCCCCCGCACAGGGAACAATTTCTGCCTTATATCTTATCTAAATCTGCCCTCTGTCAGTTTAAAGCCATTACCCCTTGTCCTATCACAACATGCCCTTGTAAAAAGTCCCTCTCTGGCTTTCTCATAGTCCCCCTTTAGGTACTATATTTTGTCGCTTTTAATTTCCTGTTTGCCAATGGAGGAGCCTGTTTGAACAAGGCATTTGCTTTCCAGACAACGCACAAAGAGCCGGGAGTAGCTATCTGACCAAGGATGACCTTCAGCCCCATGTCCATGCTCGTGCTGGCAGCTCCAGCGACCTGCCCGAGCGTGGTGCATCTCCAGGCCAGCGTGGCTGCGCCTCGCTCAGAAAACTAACGCGCCCTGTGCTGACCCTCCGTGTGCCACACGGCATCTGGGAGGGCTCGCCACACCCCAGGCTCACGTCCTGCTGCCTTACGGGTGACCACAGTCACGGGCATTGCAGCAGGTAAGAGCAAATTCCTTCTTGTTCTACCTCCTGGGATATTTCCTAGCCTACGGCGGTCTTCAGCTTATACCAACCTACGTGTGGTCAGCAGGTAGCTCTCCATTGCATTGACTACACAGATTAGATCTTTAAGGCACGTCTCAATTGCCCACGTAGAGGTCCGAGGTGGGGTTTGAGGTGCTCGGGGTATCCGAGTTGTCCATATGGAGCCGATGGGAAGAGCTCAGCACCTCCGGGACAGCTGCATCCTCCTTGAGCAACTGGAGGCAGCGCTGGGCTCCCCAGGTCTCTCAAACTGGCACTGGCCGCTGAGATGTCCGCAACCGAATTTCATCTCTGCAGGTAGGCGTGGGAGCCTGGGAGCTGACTCTTGCCCAGTGGCCAGCTGGAGCCCATGTACCGGGGACAGGCAAAATGCTCATTTGTATCACTGCGATGAGGCTGGAAGGACCCCAAAGGCTGGGGGAGCCCCAGATTTTGCGAGTGGTGCAGCAAACTGCTTGGTTTCTAATTTTGTGAAAGAAAAATGCATGTTGGGGGAGACTCG